CAATGATCACTTCTAAACCATTTAAAGCAGTGTAACTGATTTTTTGACCGCTTGGGTGCAGCAGAACAAAGTGATAACATCTGACATATTATCTACCTTATAAATTGTTGGTGGGAGCATGTTAGTAAATGGTTGCCTATTTATATATCTAGCAGACACAGAGCAACAATTGCATTAGTTTAAAGTTGTGTTTCTGGCTAGAAATGAGGTTGTCAGGGAAAAGCTGTGTGCCACAAAACCAAAGCAATGAGCTAAATGAGGCTCAAAATCCTTATGGAAAGGCTAAGTAAGTAAAGTTTATTTATATAGCACCTTTCATGGAGAAAGAGGGGTCACAAAGTACTTTACAGTAAAAAAAAAAGAACTAAAACCAAAATAAAATAACAGGGTGATGAGTTGGGTGATAATTCTCTGTGTGTTCATTACGACGACAACTTTTACATTACACACAGTAATTTGATCCATTGTTAACATAAAAAGTATTTATTAGTGCAGCTTTAAGTTGTAGCCCTTGTAATGTTTAATAAGGAGTGAAGCAAAGAGCATAGATAAAGTGATGCAACCTGGCATTGGATTATGTAATAAAGAAATTGCAGCTTTATAAAGGGGATTAATACATTTACAACGTAATAGAAGTGTTGACCTGAAATATGCCATAAATGGTTACTCATGTAGTATAAGCAGTACATCAAAAGTTAAAAACCAGTCATTTCCCTCTTTACCAGTATTGTATACAGACAAATGTGGGCTGTGCCTGCTGTGAACTTTCAGGCTAAATGAGCAGATTAAGGTCAGATTAGATTTATGTCAGAAAAACCTTCGACCCACATCATACAAGGCCATCTGACAGAGGTGCTTGGTCACACTTAACCCACTAGAGGGAGCTGTATATATATTTGTGTATAAACAGATGAGGCCTGTTTGTATGTAGACCAATGCTAATAATTGTCTTTCATAAGCTGCTATTTTGTCATCAATACCAAATTGACACAAACCCCTTGAATTATCAGACTAACTCTCAGATTTGTATTCTGTTTGACATGAAGAATTTCTCTCTAAAAGATGAGGCAAGCAAGGAATCTTTACCATATGGCTACCTGATCTTTAATAATAGTGGCTCTATATATCGTCAAACCGATACCGGAACTAAAGGTTTACTGTGGACACCACCCCCATCTGTCCTCTCTCTTCCCTCTGAGTAAACTCCTTGAGCCACTGAGCTTATTAACGCCAGAGGGAAAAGAAGTGAGTGAGTGTGTGTGTGTGAGATTAGGTTTCTGGGGTTTAGACAGATGATCTGTTTGTGAGGAGGCCAATTTGTGAGGAGAAAAGATTAGTTATTGGAGCAGGGCTGAGTGTTGTTGCAGATGTAACCTGTAACATTAACTGTGCCTCTCCCACAACACGGGGATGGTTTAGATACACGTAGTCAGTGGGATGAATGTCATGTTGTCCTGGCATACAAGGGTTGTGGTTATATAGGGCTGGTATTTATCAGCTTGTCATAAATCAGACATGGCCCATTTGATTAAAGTAGGTTTAGAAATATGATGCAGTCTGATTGATTAATTGATTTACTGTATTTTGTGTTTACTGTCATCTCATTATAATCTAATAATTTTGACAAAGTAAGTCAATCGTTTGATTTAGTATCTCTTAATTTTGATTTATGATGAATATTTTTAGCCATGCTAAATACACTGCTCAAAAAAATAAAGGGAACACTAAAATAACACATCCTAGATCTGCATGAATGAAATAATCTCATTAAATACTCCTTTCTTTACTTTAGTAAAGTTAGTTGAATGTGCTGACAACAAAATCACGCAAAAATTATCAATGGAAATCAAATTTATCAACCCATGGAGGTCTGGATTTGGAGTCACACTCAAAATCAAAGTGGAAAACCACATTACAGGCCGATCCAACTTTGATGTGATGTCCTTAAAACAAGTCAAAATGAGGCTCAGTAGCGTGTGTGGCCTCCACGTCCCTGTATGACCTCCCTACAACGCCTGGGCATGTTCCTGATGAGGTGGCGGATGGTCTCCTGAGGGATCTCCTCCCAGACCTGGACTAAAGCATCCGCCAACTCCTGGACAGTCTGTGGTGCAACGTGGCGTTGGTGGTTGGAGCGAGACATGATGTCCTAGATGTGCTCAATTGGATTCAGGTCTGGGGAACGGGTGGGCCAGTCCATAGCATCAATGCCTTCCTCTTGCAGGAACTGCTGACACACTGCAGCCACATGAGGTCTAGCATTGTGTTGCATTAGGAGGAACCCAGGGCCAACCGCACCAGCATATGGTCTCACAAGGGGTCTGAGGATCTCATCTCGGTACCTAATGGCAGTCAGGCTACCTCTGGCGAGCACATGGAGGGCTGTGCAGCCCCCCGAAGAAATGCCACCCCACACCATTACTGATCCAACGCCAAACCGGTCATGCTGGAGGATGTTGCAGGCAGCAGAACGTTCTCCACGGCGTCTCCAGACTCTGTCACGTCTGTCACACGTGCTCAGTGTGAACCTGCTTTCATCTGTGAAGAGCACAGGGCGCCAGTGGCAAATTTGCCAATCTGGGTGTTCTCTGGCAAATGCCAAACATCCTGCACAGTGTTGGGCTGTAAGCACAACCCCCACCTGTGGAAGTCGGGCCCTCATACCACCCTCATGGAGTCTGTTTCTGACCGTCTGAGCAGACACATGCTGGAGGTCATTTTGCAGGGCTCTGGCAGTGCTCCTCCTGCTCCTCCTTGCACAAAGGCGGAGGTAACGGTCCTGCTGCTGGGTTGTTGCCCTCCTACCGCCTCCTCCATGTCTCCTGATGTACTGGCCTGTCTCCTGGTAGCGCCTCCATGCTCTGGACACTACGCTGACGGACACAGCAAACCTTCTTGCCACAGCTCGCATTGATGTCACTTGTGTGGGTTGTAGACTCCGTCTCATGCTACCACTAGAGTGAAAGCACCGCCAGCATTCAAAAGTGACCAAAACATCAGCCAGGAAGCATAGGAACTGAGAAGTGGTCTGTGGTCACCACCTGCAGAACCACTCCTTTATTGGTGCTGTCTTGCTAATTGCCTATAATTTCCACCTGTTGCCTATTCCATTTGCACAACAGCATGTGAAATTGATTGTCAATCAGTGTTGCTTCCTAAGTGTACAGTTTGATTTCACAGGAGTGTGATTGACTTGGAGTTACATTGTGTTGTTTAAGTGTTCCCTTTATTTTTTTGAGTATATCTGAAGGGGTCACACTAGTATTTTGCAACCTTTCAACCAATTTTGTGTCTATGTGACTAATTGGGATGACATTTTTTGAAAATGGTCCAGTACTGAGTGAGCACACTGCAGATGGTAGCAGTGAAACAGGGCTGCAACGTAATCCTTGCGGGCAGTTGAGCCCCGTCAAAGTACGTCCACTAAAGTGCTTGTTTTTGCCACTGACAGGCTCCAGCTCTACACAATTACAAATACATACGTACTCACTCATAAACTGTTAATAACAAAAAGTAGTGAAGGTCCTTATTAGACTAACAAAATCACACATGCTATTATGTGGAATCATATAGAAAAATTATCTAATTTAATTTGTAAAAATATTCATTTTCGTCCTTGCAGATAAAACACAAACAGGACAATCCCCTCCCCCAACCTGTGCACATGCATACACACATGCACACAGTCCCTCTGGCTCCCATGCACACCATATGGGCTGAGCACACAGCTCAGGGTATTAACAGTAATTTGCCTGCATGGGAGCAGTGTTGTTTTCAGTTTTTTAACTATGCTCTCTCAATGTTGACACCTCCATAGCTAATGACCATACCATAAAACAGTGAAGGCCTTGTGCGGGCTAAAGTCCGCTTTATAGTGCACTCAGTGACATAATGATAGTTTGACCAATGGTCACCTCACTTAAAGGTGTCACAGTTTGCCTCTCAGTCCCTTCCTGCAGTCACACACTGTCATCCACAGCCCTCTGCATAACTGTGGGTGCATCTCAGGTCTCCTAGGCTGGATCTCAATTGTTTTTACTGCATTCAAGTTTCCCTCACTTGCGTCTTTTCCAGGAAGGAAACCATGCAAGGAGGGAAGAAACCAGGAAATATGTTTTTAAAGAAATCAGACGTCCTTTCCTTGAAGGTGTCACATGAAGCAACATTTGTTTCTGATCGGAGTTGGATCAGCTGTCAGTGGCTTTAACAGCTGTAGAGACTTTCTATGGAGTTTATGTCTACTAATACTAATAAAGGCACACAGTTATCACTGCCAGAGCAGCAGGGCTCTCTCTTTGTAGCTGTTACCTGTTTAACAAACACCTGCACATAAATAAAGACCTGCATCCTGTATTTATACTGTGTACTATCTCCTGCTACAGTGAACACAGATTTTTACTAGAAGATGGATCTGAAAACAAATTAAATATATAACTTCATAGTCAACTGGCGACCTATACAGGGTGTACCCTTTCGCCCGATGTCAGCTGGGATTGACTCCAGCCCCCCCGCAACCCTGTATGCAGAATAAGCGGTTGATGATGGATGGATGGATGGATGGACTTCACAGTCATACACATACACAGATACAGTGGCCATGAAGGCTGCTCTCATGTGTGCTTGCTCATGGCTCCTCAGAGATTCCTCCTCGATCCTCACACCTCAGAGCTGAAAAACACAGCTTTGGGATAGCCTGCAAAATGGCAGACCAGAACCACGTCCGGCTCAAGTTACTTGGGATGAGACTTGGGATGTACCCTCTCTCTATCTACCCCTGTCTCAGGCCCCTGCTCTCTCCTCTCAGGTTCTTACCTTAAACATCCCCAGACCTGTCATCCTTAAGTTGTCCACCAGATGCCCTCAGACATTCCCTCCTTTCCCCATCCCCTGACTGCCCCACCCATTTACACACCTGTTCCCACTTCTCTCATCAGCCCTGCAGTTACCAGGGCCCAATCCCAATGTTCACACTCAAAAACTCAATGACTTTGACGCGGTAAGTATGTGAGGGCTTAGGGCTGTCCCACAGTGAAATCGTCAAGCGCATGAGGGCTCTCTCGCAGACTTTTTGGACCGTTTTCGTATGTCTGTATTTCTGCAGACTTTGCCTGAGGGAATTGCTCACAGTTCATAGCGTTGTGACCTGAAGCACGGGCGTTACCAGGGGCAACCCGGAAGCAAGAGAAAAATCAGGCAAGAGAAGAAGAACGGTAAACGAACAAGCATGGAAACCAACGCTGATGTTAAAATTGTAAGACAAAAAAGTTTTCATAGATTTTAGATGGTACATAGAACACATGAACTCATGAAGTCTTTTAGTTTAGTTTCCAATTATGGAACAATTCTGTATTTTACGGAATGGTGGGCAACCCTAATGCACTACCTATTTTAACTGTCCCATCTTGGCCTGTAAGCAATAACACTAGCATGGCCTTGTCAGTAGATGATGCAGAGTTTTTAGTTTGATCAAGCAACTGGTTGTGCTGCCTGGTCTGCAGTAACCCCTCCTAACTGCAAACTGGTTTTTGACCTTCACCTGTTGGTTGTCCTATGTGCTGCCTCCTACCTAAAGGTTAAATAATCTGATCATTCCTACAACTATGTCCTGCAAAGCTAAGTTAACCACAACTGTATCCCACAGGCCACTAAAGTGTTCTAATGTATCTTGTTCCAATTAATTTACGAGTAGCTCTACCCATCGTTTGGATTGGAATAGCTTGTGATATGTGGCTTCTTTCAATTTTAATTAAGCTTCCCCACATGATTAAACCAATGCTCATGTTGCTCGGGCTACTAAACAACGTGGGGGTGTTGCCTTTAATGTATAACTAATTTCAATTTAACCTCCAAATCTGATATTAAATTCATTGTTAAAACCATCTCTATCAGCGATGAATTGCTTTATCCAGGACAACAAACTCTGATTATTCCATCTTGTGGTACTCGATAGACCAACTGGCCAGTTTGTGTACAAAGCTGCTCTTTGTAGTGGTAACACCTTGACTTGATTCTATTAAGTGGATAGAGATTTCTGCTCTTGCTCCTGTCACATCTGTGGTGTCAGATCAATTTCTTATTAAATTTGAAGTGACACTAGCCTGTCCTTGTAATATTGTTACTGATGTATTTGCCACATTGGTCCGTCAACTTTAACTGCACTTGGTGAGTGATTGCCTGGGATACTGCCACTGAAGCAATACTGAAAATTGTATAGGGACTTAAACACAGTCCTTATCTAATCTCTTGGATTCAGTTGCAACTCTTTCTACCAAAACAATACTGTCAAAGTAGTGTATTTGTGTACTACTAGTATTAAAATGCATTAAAGCACCATAATTGCCTAATTAGTAACAATTAACACAATCATAGATTTATTTTCACACTATAGCCAAACATTTTGTATTTTTCCTGCAGAGGATGTCTGGATGTGGTGCTTGCTTCTGCTGGCAGGTCCAATCGGCAAACCACTCGTGGCTGCGCTACACACCTGAGACTCCTCCCACAATCAACCCCTGCTGTTCATAAACCCCGGCTTAGCACTTAATTCTTTGCTAGATCCATCTGTTTGCTTCCAGTGGTACACTTGTAACTGCCTCATAGCGTATAGACTAGTTTCTCACTTTTTGCGGCTAATTTTTCCTAATATCCTGTCATCCTGTGGTGTTCAGGTTTTTTGGTCTCTGAGTTGGAGAGCTGTTCTGTTTGCCCTGTCTCCACCCGCCTGCCCTGCCCAGCTCATGCTACCTGCCTGTCTCCATCTGGAGATTCCCCTTGCACATTATTTGTACTATTAATAAATCTCCTGTTCTTTTTACCACAGAGTTCTCTCAGCTACCAAACCCTACACCAACTACTTGCCTTATTTACACCCTAATATCTTAACATTTTAATAAAGAACTCTCTGGGACCTACAATGCTAAATATTATCTGTCCCCACAAGCTGTAACCATGTCAAAATCAGACATGCTTGTGATAATGTGAAACAAAATTGTCTGACATCAGACAGTTTGACTGTGTTGCGGCCTTTTAAATCCAAACTTAAAGCTCATCTTTTTGCCTTTAACGTTCAGCTAGGTCCTTATTCTTTCATTTCTTCAGGCCTTGTACCTGTTACCATTATCCTTCTGACTGGATCGTCTCAAATCTATTAAGCCCACTTGACAAGAATACTATAAACTTTCTGAAAACCACAGAATTTTTGTTTGTTTGCCTTATTCCAGATGTTGTGGATCTGGATCTTCCTCCAGGAGATTCAGCCTCTCCTTTTGAGTCTCTCTCTCCCTTGTGTGCATGTTGCCCTTCTCTCTGTGTGTTTGTTCTTTTCTCTTATCTGTGTGAATGGTGTGCTTGAGCTTTGACGTGTGTGTGTGTGTGTGTGTGTGTTTAGTCTGTCGTCCCTATAGGTCTCCAGGGAGGATCCGGTTGTGTGGCTCAGGTCTGTTTGCTGACACCTGAAGTTGCTCAAGATCCGTATTCTGCATTTACAATCTATAATTTTGTCATCATGGTTGTCTATACTATACTGTAATTATACAGAAGTACTTGAGTAACTGTGCTTGGGCTGTGTCCGAAAAGTCTTTTTTGCTGAAGAAGGTTCCTGAGTGAAGTGACCCAGAAGTATTTCAGTGGCAGCCATGATAAGAGCTGTTCAAATTCTCTAAAAGCTAAGGAAAGGTGCCTCAATTCTTCCTTTCATATTTCCTTTAGCATAGGGTACACCCAAGGAGGTATGCCAGAGATCGGACAGTGAAGCCAACCAAAGCCTGAATGGACATATGTAGGACCCAAAATTACGTCAAAACCCTGTGACACCCTGTAGCACATGAGAGATGTAACTTAATTAAAGATGTAACATAATTACGTCGCCTAGAAAAGAGCAGTCGGATTCTCTTAGACCCGCCGTCAAGTCCTTACGGATTCTCCTTCACATCTTTCCTTGACCTCGTGACGTTTTCCATTCCATTGTCTTCGGATGCACCCCTACTTTCTTTACCACTGTGCTTCTGTTTTACTAAGCTAGCTGCTTTCTTAAAGAAACCCCATGATTCCTGGATATAGTGGTGGCTAGATAACGTTAGCCCATGTAAGGCGTACTCATCATCTTTTGGCAAAGGCTAACTGTGCACCTTCCTACACCTCCATTCCCATGTCCTGGACCAGTCTCTAATACGCACAAAGACAAAAATGATGTCTGTGCTCTCAATTAAAGACCAGCCAGCAAACAAGTCCACCTCCCAATATGTTATTGTAACAAAGAAATACAAGAATTAGTAACTGTAATTGTTTCCAAATTTAAAATTGTGATTCCTTACAGTAGTCTTTAATCAAAAAATAATCATGTTTCTATAAAGATTTTTGTTAACAACACCTAAAATGCTGTGAGAGGACAAAAAAAGTATTAAGAATGGACCTGGCAAAAAAAACTGAGTCAAATCAGAATTAACTAAAAGCCAGAGGGGGGAAAAGTAGGTTTTTAAAATAGATTTAAAATTCTCAATGGTAGGACAACAGTTAATGTTGGATGGGAGACTGTTCCAGAGCCAAGGGGCAGCAACAGAAAAGGTCAGGTCTGCTTTGGTTGTAAGTAGTGAGTTGGGTACTGAGAGGAGCTGTAGTGAGGATGACCTAAGTGACCTAGAAGCAGAATATGGAATCAGCATATCAGTAATGTGGAGCTAATCCAAAACAGTAAAATTTTAAAATCAATTCTGCACTTCAACAGTAACCAATGCAAGTGAACCAGAACCAGAGTGATGTGTTGTCTTATCTTTGTTCCAGTTCAAATTCTAGCAGCTGCATTTTGAATCGTTTGTAGTCAAGTGGGAAATGGGTCAACCCCAAAAGTGTATTACAGTAATCCAGCCTAGAGGTCCTTATGAGATAAAAACGACTTTACACAAAACTACTGACTTGTTTGTTGAAATTGTGTCCAAGGAAACACCAAGATTTTTAACTGCATTGTGCAAATTTGTAGACAGGGGACCAAGCGCATTGCTTAAGCTAGTGACATAACATAAAATCCGGTTTTGTTTTCATCAAGTTGAAGAAAGTTGTTTTTTTTTTCCCATACAGCATTTAATGTGGTCCAGACATTTAAAGAGGTTCTTCAGAGAGTAAGTGCTGTCAGGTGTAACTGATAGTAAAACTGTGTGTCATCCGCATAAAAGTAAAGCAATATATTATACTACTAAGATAGTGCCAAGGGGAAGCATGTATACTGAGAATAAATGTAGAGGTTATTGTTGTGTTACACCTCTTTAATACTATGTGGTGAGTGTACATCATTATGATGTGATAACAATATATGATTGAACTTAAGTCCTACTCTCTGAGAGAAAAATTATGTTAAATTTTGACCACTTACTAAATTATTAGTTGCCCAACGGACTAGGTCTTAGACAGTCTTTACCAAGACCATGACTACTGAGCAAGCTCCATCCATAAAGTGCGATTGAAAGCTTAAGAAAAAGTCAGTAAGTGATCTTTCACATAAGATTTTCCTAAACTACAATTTACAATGTCAAGAATGAACGTTAAGTTCCACCACCACTGAACTGATGCAATGAACTGAGCCCACTTGGAAAGTTTCTTTATGATGTGTTGCAACCACTAATCTTGTTTGTTTTTTGTGACTACGCACATATTGTACTGTAACCTCATTACACTCATAAAATGAACAAACAATTCAGGTTTAAAGGGAAGTACAGGTACTTATATAATCAAAACCTGGACTTTACCCAGAGAGCTTGAGCTATTTTTATATTATAAAGATGTAATTGAATGTCACAGGTGTCAATTAAGAAAAATACGGGGAACAGTTCTTTATTTAAATGTGAATTTGATGTGAATACAGAATTTGGGTATAAAAGCCCAGTTACTGATTAAAAAATAATGTCATCAGTATTGAACTAGCTGCACATTTTACACACACCATGCACTCTTTAAATCCAAAAGACCAAAGTAATCCGATATGTAAGACATTGTAAAAAAAAAAAATTAAAATCAAACACAATTGAACCCAGGCAATTTAATCCATTAGACAAGGAGTTTCCACTATAGTTTACACTAAAAGTATATTGCATATTTCATTGTAGTCTTTTGATCCACCAAAGTTTACTTCCTGACCTACAGCCAGACAACATTCAAATGTTTTCCTTTTATGTCTTCCTCTGGGCCCATGACATCCTTATCATATTACATATATAATGTTATTCTACATATATAATGTTGAGCCTTTCAAACATTTGGAGTTTTTTATTCTTCAGTTAACACGGTCTGGATTTCATCTATTTGTGCTTACAACCCATAACTATTTATACCCTTGTATGGCAATAATTGATTTCAGATCCTCCCAGTGTACTTCAGCGCACCAAATATACCACCACCTGGAAAAAAAACAAAACAAAAATGCTTTTTAATGCTCATCATCTTCAACAGGAGTTTGAAGCAGTTACACTTTGAACTGGTAACTATTTTTCCTTTAACAGAACTTAGGTTTTCTAAGCTGGAGCAGTTGTCCACTGTGTTTCAGTTTTACAGCTGTGAGCAGCTCCTCCATTTACATGGTGTGCTGCACTTTTGCTATAAATGTGTCATAAAAACCTGATTCTGAATGATTCTTCTTTTTTCAAGTGTGAATCAAAATACGATTAGTATATAACACTTAATTGGGTAGTATGCAAGTCACTTTCAGCAAGGGGGCAACAGTGCCAAGAAATACTGTCTTGTCCATGTATTGTTCAATATCAAATCTCCAGTCCATCATTGTTAATGGATAACAAAATAAAATGTAAATGAGTAAGCGGAAATTAGGTATCATGTAAAGGTGTGTATTGTACCCACCAACAGCAGCCACCCCAGCAATAGAGCCAACGGTAATACCGGCTATAGCACCAGATGAAAGTCCTCCCACAGGCTCAGTTTCTAGAGGAGTGGTGCTGGGTTTGTTTGTAGTTGTAGCTGTTGCATTTGTGGAAGTGGTAGCTGGACCAGTTGTGGAAGTGGTAGCTGGACCAGTTGTGGAAGTGGTAGCTGGACCAGTGGTAGCTGGACCACTTGTGGAAGTGTTAGCTGGACCAGTGGTAGCTGGACCACTTGTGGAAGTGATAGCTGGACCAGTGATAGCTGGACCACTTGTGGAAGCGGTGGATGGAAGAGTTGTGGTCGTGGGATTCATGGTAGTTGGTAGAGATTCGGTAATTTGAGGAGCCTGTGTTGAGTTTGCCACTACACACAGGACAACTATGTCAGGAAAAGCAAAAAGGCAGAAAAGGGTTAAAGTAGAGTCATTAACATGTTCCCTATACAGTGTGATAACACTTTAAAAAGTTCTGACTTCATCTCAACTTTTATTGAGTTAAATCTTTATTTTTAGTGCTGATTTAGGTAATTTTATCAACATTTGTAAACTATCCAAATGTTTGCTGTAATTTCAGATGCAATATTGTGAACAAGTTTTTTTTAGTTAATTATAATCTGCAGTATTTATAGAGCAATTTAGTATTCAAGAGTAGTGAAGAGTGGTTTTCATTGTATGTGAAAGAACTACATGTTTGACCTAATCTTTGACACAATACCACCATTCAGAAAGACTGAAAACATGTATGAGTCGGAAATTATGACTTTTATCTATCCATCTGTCACCAACCATTGGAAAATCCTACAACAATAGTCCACACCAGAACCTTTGCAATTTTCACAATAAACATAAACTAGTTTACTGCAATAGTACATACTCATAAAGGTCATTAAATTGTATCATAAATGAATCATTCATTATTTATTACATTCTTCCATCACAAATTATATTCCAACACCATGAAATGGATTCCTCTCCTGCTAAATCAAATCATCATCATAATCATACCATCAAATGAAAGGTCAGCTAATGGTTACGCTGAGCAAAGTACAACATCTTTGGATAAGATTTTGTATTTCTCAATCAAATAAACAGTTAATAGCTAGGTTTCATCTTTTAATCTAATCTATTTTTTTATACTCAAAATAGAATTTTATTTGTCATAACATAGCAAATAAAACTTAGCCAACAAAGGTAAAGGTTATTCTCCATTTCCTCTTCACAGTTTATTGCACAGCACATATTTTAATTACTTGAAACATGTCCCAGTGATCCAGGTCATAATTATCCCAGGAAGGTTAAAAGTCTACCAAGTGTAGTTGCCCCTGATTTAAACTTCCTTTGATTACTTAAAATAACTAAACAACTAAAGAAGTTGTCACCATCAACCCTCTGCTCATATCTTGTGACAGTTTTGTATTTAGAGATCCTTAAATTAACAAGTTTTAGTCCATTGATGTAATTTCCACAGAGGCACCATTGTAAAAAAATTTTATTTGGTACCACTTTGTTATAAGGCACCCTTTATATAGATGTTGTTGTATGTATTATGTTGTAACCAATGCTTTGTAAATCAGTCTCTAATCTGTAATCTTTCTGGTACGAGTGGCTGGACCTATTGAGCACTTACCTATTTTAGCTTCATTACACTGGCTCCCAGTATGTTTTAGAATTGACTTTAAAATTCTATTGATCACTTTTAAAGCTCTTCATGGCCTCTCGCCTTGTTATATTTCTGAACTTTTAGTCCCATACACACCAGCACGTACCTTGAGATCCTCGGGCAGAGGTCGGTTGTCTGTTCCAGAGTCTCGACAGAAAACTAAAGGGGACAGAGCGTTTGCTGTCAGGGCCCCGAGGCTCTGGAACAGCCTGCCCGAGGAAATCAGGTCGCCTGAGTCAGTGAACTCTTTTAAGTCCCTTCTTAAAACATACTTTTATAGGAGAGCCTTTCCCGATCTTATTTGACTTTATTTTATCCCTTTTATTTTATTCTATTTTACTAATTTTATATTTATCTTAAACGTGTATTTTAGTCTTTTCTTTATCTAGTATTGTTTTTGTATTATTGTTTTTGGATATTATTGTTTTTAGGGTATTATTGTCTTTACACTTGTTAAAGCACTTTGTAACTTGTTTTTGAAAAGTGCTCTACAAATAAAGATTATTATTATTATTACCCTCTATAAATCAAAATATATTTGTTAACACTTACAAATGCAGATAATGTATTATAATGTATACTTTCATTCTGACGTTATTAGAAAGATAGAAACCCATGAACATGTACTAATGGATCGACAGAATTTATAAATACATTATTACCAAATTCAAAGGATAAACACCAACAAACTGGCAAAAAATGTGTCCTTAATAATGGCTTAAAATTGTACCAAGAATTCTTGTGTACACATTACATCGGTCAGACAACTAGTAAATATGAACAATATGGATATAATCTATACCTGTGCCAAGAAGGCAAAGAGTCAGTACAGGACGATTCACTTGCATTGTTAAATGTCAGTACCACCAAAACAGGGAGTAAATCGGTGTCTTGAAAATGCTCTTTTGATTGTGAGCTGTTCTGCTGGAAACACAAAAGCACAAACACACATTTGTAATAATATGTAATGTAATGTGTAATATGTTCTGGTTCCTATCTGCGACATTACACCTTATGTAACTTTCCTGGGTCACAAAGAGGAAATACAATCCTAACCTAAGTAGTATCAAAGAGTAAGTAGTATCAAAATAACATAAACGATGTGTGAGAATAATCTTTTCAGACAAAAATGAATGCCATTCTGAAAGAAATGAAACTTTTCTTAATATCTGTGCTTAACCGCCACGGATTTTGAGCATGCAGTATTCATTAAAATTGGCACAAAGATAGCCTACTCATGTTTGTAAAAATAGATTTATCTATGCTGTGTGCTAAGGAAAATTAAAAGATTACCTCTAACAGATTTAAGAAAACTTCATGAGAAAAGCTTCACTTCTTACCCGAAAGGTTGTCAATGACTTTCTTCTTTTCCCGTAAGACCAGAGGCTATTCCCAGACACCTGCTTTTATGACCCCCTTATGACACCACCCCATCTTCTCTAGCCCTCCCATTTGTATGTGTGTACGTATGTGTTTGTGCTGTAATACATCACCCATCACATCAAGTTCAGATAGGAACACAATGTATGTATTGATTTAATAGGTTTATTAATGTTTACCACAGGGCTATATTTTTTTTTTATGGCTCACTCGCTGCTGCACATTCAGTAGACATTGTTCAGGACATGATGCATTGGGGAGAAAAAAAACATTAGTAGCAGCCTGATGGGAAGATAAGTGTGAGTGAATGAGGACATGTGAAGGATCTGACTACTTAACTTTAACCTATGAACAGGAAGAGAAATAATCCCCCATGAAAACTCTGTCAAAGCTCTCTGCATCTTGGTCCGATACTGTCATAACTAGAAAATTGCAGCATCAGCCACTTGATGTTGAAAGGCACTATAAAATGTTCTCCTGGCGATAGAGACAACATGTCAGATAAGGTTCATATGGGTCATTTATTGTCGAAGGCAATGACAAATTATCCATTTTATTGTTTAGTTTGGAGCACTTGCAAAAACAACAGCAATTCTCTCCTCCACCAAGTTAGCTTGTAGAAAGTAACACTACCAGGATTTGTAGGAGAGTTGTACAGAAAATGTATAAAAATACACCACATACAAGGCCATAGACTATAGGAACACTTACAGGGTGAATTGTTCTCTTGCAGTTGTTTGCACCGGTTTCCTTTAGCTTGTCCTTGAGTCAACAGCTTAAACTAGCCAGCTAGCATCAGTAGCTGGAACAATGAAGATTGATCCAGCCTATAGAAAAACAAGGTAGCTGTCTCAACGTCCTTCGGTTTGCTCTGCTTGGTGAGCTGTGCACCAGACTGTAGCTGAAAACACACTGACTCCCCAGCACAGAAGCATGCCATTTACATGGATACTGTGTGGAAGAGTCATAGCTGCCAATTTTACCCAGTGACCAACCTGCAAAAAAATAATCCCCTGCAGCCCAGAAAACAAGACACTCATGACATGAATTTCTAAACAGTATTTGTAAAATTTATTTAAACCCTAGAAAATCTTTTTTGTGCATGTAGTAATGTCAGTGTAAACCCGCGTACTGGTGAGGTGCCAATGCTTGAGAGTAGAGCAATTGTGTCAGGCAAGGAAGGTACTGCTTTACATTAAAATGCATTAACACAACTAACAAGTCTATAGAAAATATACATTTTTATGACACAAGTAAGTAAGTAAGTAAAGTTTATTTGTATAGCACCTTTCACAGATAAAAATCACAGAAACAAAAACCATAAAAACTATTTTTTTAAAAATCCGTCTAACTGAAAGCCTGCTTGAATAGCAACATAAATTTGACAATGTTTTAAATAGGAACCAAAAGAGAAAAGACCTCTCTTACGAAGAAGTCTCTCTCACAAGATCTGGTTCTTACAGGTTAATTAGAAAACCCACTGCATGGTGATCTGTCATGACTGGACCGGGTTGTAATCAGTGAGCAAGTCAGAGCCAAACCATTAAGTGCTTTATAGACTAATGCTAGATTGTTTAAGTTGTTTCTGTTTTACACTGGGATCCACTGAAGTGATTAAGTACTAGAGTAATACAGTATGATGGACTTGAGCTCAAGCCTTGACATTTTTTCTAGCAAATAATCCAACAAAACAACATTATAGTAGATCTGTGTGTGATATATGCAGGTTTATTCAGAATAATTTGGATGCAAATCTTTGGACCTACTTTTCAAGTGATGACATTGTGTCCTAGTTATACAATTCATTTTACAACCTTGTACATAAAATAAAAAAGACGATATCTCTGGTTTTGCTGCATTTAAACTGTCCATCATATGCCCGACAATGTTATGCAATGCTAAATCGGTGGACTACTCTTTAAAGTAAAATATTCAAATACCACTGGTGTCCTGAGTAGCGTACGTGGCTGGGTTCCATAACAAATGCGCTTTGTTTGGGTTAAGGTAAGGTTGTGGTTACGTAGTAGTGTGGATGTAGCCTAATGAACAGAATCCACAAAGCATCCGCGTGTGTGTCTACTTTGATTTGAGAATTCACCACACCATAAAAACCTATAAAAGTAGGAAGGACAATTTTCCATAACAAGGTTTTTGTAAAAGAATCAAATAGACCATGACATAAACAGAAACTGAACTATTCAGAAAATGGTGCAGTAGTCTGGTGTGATTCCATGTTTCTTTACTCTTTAAATTGTCTTTAAATTACCTTTGCCCTAGATATTCTTTCTCATCTGCTATCTAGCAGATGCTAGATATGACTGCTTACGACTGCATTGCACATTACATAAAGGATTGTGTTCCTTATTACGATCACAGTGGAGTGGCAGCTGAAGCGCTCACTGCTGGAACAAAAGAACACTAACATTACTGGTGAACTAAGGACATGCATTTACACTTTTAGATTAGATTTGAGAATGTCACAGAAACACTGATCTGGCATCGGCACACCCTGAAACATCTATAATGTATCTGTGCTCTGATGACCCTGGTTTTACTAACGCAGCATTCACTGCTCTCTACACTTTCAGAGAAAATGAAACTTACCATCTACTAATGATTGTCACAACGGTAATAAGGAAACACAAGAACTTTTCAGGTAGCAAATTCCACCGATATGGATATTGGCACTGGTTAAGTTAATGGCAGCTCATCTGAAGCCACTGAAGTTTTTTGCTGTTATCTGTGTGTCATGGAAAATTATATATATTTCTTTGTTTTTTAAAATCTTTGCAATAAAGGCAGGACTTACACACTACTATTCAGCATGGTATTACTATTCAACATATGTGTTGCAGGCCATTCTAAAGATGGCGCAGTTGTAGTTTATAATTGCCCAATTTCATCTTTGGGAATACAGTTTGATTTAAATGAGTTGAATTATGAGTGAATATAGTTTGTATGAGATAAGGGTATGACATTGGAGTTTTGTATTGTTTGATATGAAGATGTAACATTGGGCTTTAGGAAATTGACAGGCATTTCTTACAATTTCCTGACATTATATAGACAATAGGCAAAAACAATTAATTGATTAGAAGAACATAATTGTTAGATTAATCAGTAATAAAATAAAATAATCGTTAGATGCAGCCTTGAAACAACGACTCAACAACCAGATGATAATGGTGCGCTGTGTCTGCTGTGTGTGTGTGTGTGCTGGGTGTAAGACGGCAATTGTTTGCTAACATGAAAGGTGATTATTCAGCACTGTATGTCGGGGCTGTGATTCTGGCAGCTTGTTTTGGAGTTCTTTTGCTCCCCAAAACGTATTATTGCATCTTTAAGAGCCGACTGCAGATGCTTAAGATAAAGGAACGCCAGAGTGGATCCATTTGAAGTAGTCACTGCTGGACTTTGAACGTGCTTTGATTTGCGCATGCTTGCCGTCGATGGCGCCCAAACACAGTGGAAAGTTCCAAATCATCCAGACATCTTGTGCTATGTCTGCCCATTGTGCTTGGAACAGGGAAGAGTATACAGGGCCTTCATGTGAGGACACCCAAAGATACTAGAATAAATAGGTATGGGGTAGATAGACAATGCCTATGTACAGGCTCCAGAATTTTATGCTGTGCCCCTGATAGCCAGTATGTCCTCTTTACATTTATGTTCATGCTAAGAAAAGTAAGACTGTTTAAATTTGGATAATGCAGTGACATTTTGCGTGGAACAGTGCTGGAAATTATGCACATGCTTAACTTGCCTTTCTTATTTGTGTTGTGGTTAATATTGGGTAGTGCATGTGAAGTAGCCCTCAACAACCTCTGAGCTGTTAATGTAACCACATGTTTTCACAGAGCCTGTATGGAACTATTCAGAGTGGCAGTAAACAGTGCTCTGCTGTAAATGTCAAGCAACCCATGTGCCATTTCAGGTGTCAACTGTTGTGGTTCAAACCAACATTATGTTGCTGTAGGAAATGGGAAATGAACAGAGACCTCCCAAGTAAGAGTCAATAACAATGTCACCTGACTTTCTCCTCTGGCGCTTCACATACAGTGACAGTATATACAGTATAATGACATATGGTATGTCATCTGACACGGTTAATAGGAATTTGCACTACTTTTTACATCAAGCATAAATGTCATAATGATTATTGCATGAAAGACAACTGTTGAATTAAAAATCAAACACTAGTTTTTCATTTCACAGAATATTTTATTTCCACAAAACAAAAACAAAACAAACAAAAAAAAACAGAAATGTTTCTGTCTTTGTGCTCAGTGTCCTGATTCACAGAGAGTTTAAACGTTCAGAGCAGTAGTGTGTAGTATGTTAGTGATGTCCAACATAAAGCTTACTTGGATCATTGTGAATCTTGATGGCCAAGTCCCTGACACTTCACAAGTGGCCATCAGACACTACCCAACAAGGCCCGTGAAGCTGGGTCAATTGACTTTAAAGGGAGTGTTTACTTGACAGCTGATAGCAGCATCTGATGGCTGATAGCCTCAGCTTAGCATGGATCGACTACAGAGACAGATACTGTGTCAGAGGTGTTGATTCAACTGTGGTATTTTTTTTTTTAGCTTTATTGCACTATTTAGCCTCTTTTAGCACATTGTTTCATTTTTTTTTACAGCACTTTTACTGTTTGGTTCAGTCTCACCACCATAACTAAAGGGAGAGTAAATACTGCACATCTACAAACATCTATAATGTATCTGTGCTCTGATGACCCTGGTTTCACTAACGCAGCATTCACTGCTCTCTACTAGGTGTGGTGTTGTTATTAGTGATGTGTAAAGCTTGACCTTAGATGATAGGAAGCGGGCCTGGATGCAGGGCATGATGGGATATGGAGGGCAGGAAGCGAAAGGTGGACGGAGCGGGGTAAAAAAAAAACAACAATAAAGAGTTCACGTTCAGCTCACAGTTTGTCTCACGCAAATGTATTCTTTGGAGAACACAACACTAGGGGCGGGAATCTCTGGGCAC